CCAAAGGGGTTTTGCTGGTGGCGGGGACGAAATCCACCACCAACTTCAGCTACCTGAGCAGGACTCAGCTGACGTCAGGCGGGCTACATGAAAGGCCACACTGGTGCTGGGCTTCACCATTCCAGCCATGGCACAGAGTCATTCTGAGCAAGCTCTGGGAGCCCCACGGGAATCCCTAGATGAAACTCCCCCAGTCACGGGGACACTGTTCCAAAGGCAGGAGACGATTCACCCTGGGTACAGCCGGCCACTCACACTCAGTTCCCTTTATTTACTAGGATTTAACGTGGTCAAAGACCCCCTGTATCCAAATCCTGCTGGCACAAATTGCTATTTAAATATTTAATCTTCTAATTACACTTAGTAAATCCTGTGCTAATAGACAAACGTCGCTTACATCCTTCACTACAATGCAAACTATTTTACGACACTTCTAAGAAGCGCTCTTGTTCTTCGGTTTTTTTAAATGTTACTTTGCTTTGCTTTTCTTCAAACCTACCAGGTGACGAGCACAACTAAGCCCTTCATGTATGTTGTTTATTTTCATTCTAACCCTTATTATAATCGGAAGCCTTGTGCATTGCTGATGGGAAAGTAAGATGGGGTAGCCATGGTGGAAAACAGCTTCTAACACTCTAAAGTTAGTTTTTGTTCGTGCCTTAAGGCAGAGTTATAAGGAAGGCTCAAAGAAGCCAAATAAACTGGCCCAGATCTGTACCCAACAAACTTATCTTGACTCCAAAGCCCATATTTTCCACTCCCACTCCATACTTCCTCCCTTGACCCTGTTAGGAAATCGGTTACCCCATAACTGCTACAAATGTGGTGACAGGAACAGGGGCCAAAGAGAAACACTCTGAAAAGTAGAAAACATCAGTATGTGATTCAAATTATAACTTTTAAACTGCCAGCCTCTTTGGGGAAAGAAATGCAAGATTATACAGGAATGTGCGTAATAAAACACTGAAAAATAAATAAAATCCTTCAGAGGGGCACATCTGGGTGGTGATATTCGATCTTTATTTTTGTTGTTGTTGTTCATTTATTTTTAGCTGCATTGGGTCTTCGTTGCTGTGCACGGGCTTTCTCTAGTTGTGGCGAGCGGGGGCTTCTCACTGCAGTGGCTTCTCATTGCGGAGCACGGGCTCTAGGAGCACGGACTTCAGTATTTGTGGTGCACGCGGCTCGCGGGCTCTAGAGCGCAGGCTCAGTAGTTGTGGCGCACAGGCTTAGTTGCTCTGCGGCATGTGAGATCTTCCTGGACCAGGGCCCGAACCTGTGTCCCCTGCATTGGCAGGTGGATTCTTAACCACTGCACCACCAGGGAAGCCCATCGGTCTTTAAAGTTTCATTCATGCTGCTCATTTTAAGTGCATCAGAGACCCCCGGGGGCGGGGGGTGGGGGTGGGGGGCAGTGATGCTGGGTGTCCTTCTGCCCACCACCTCCCAAAGGCTAACTGCTCCCACTCTGTTCTCCCAGAGCTGCACTTTTATAAGAAATATTCCCACAGGTTGGAGACCGTATCCAAGGGAACACTGTATAACTTCACTTCCTCCCTTCCAGGGCAGCAAAAATCACTCTGTCAGGGGAGTTGTGGAAACATCTTACAATACTGTGTTCAGCCACACCATGTTCACACTGGAAGCGAAGGTCACTGCCTTCCACCACCACCTGCCCCCTCCCCAGCCCAGGATCTCCTTCTCGAAGCGGGTGTCTGGGGCTGATAATTGAAGTCACCTGAGAGGCTAGTGCCCGGCTCCTTTACCCTCAAAGGAGAAGCTACAGAAATAGACAGGAGGTTTCAATTCCCACCCACTCTCTCCAGCTTTGGGGTGGGTCAGCCTGCAGGTACACAGGAAGCCGAGGAGAGAGAGGGCATGTTTCCTGGCCCATGTGATCAGCTCAGTCTGAAAGCTGGGCCTCCACACCCACCCAACTTTTGAGAAAAAAAGTGGGCTCCATCATTCATGCATGGACTCAACCATCTATTCATCCTACAAATGTTAACTGAGCATATACACAGGGCTAGGCACCATCACAGGTAAAATACCTGCCCTCATGGACCAGACAATTTAGTAAGGGAAACAATGAACAAAATAAATATTTTGTATATTAGAAAGGGCTGTGGAGAAAATAAACCTGGAGATGTGTATAGGGAGTGTGTGTGTGTGTGTGTGTAAGCAGGAGGACGAACTACAATCCTCCAATGAAACAAAGCCTTCTATTTCTGAGGGTGGGCAAGTTTTCAACATGTCAGATCACTTTAAACACCAATGGAGACCTCACATTTTTAAGCCCCTACTAACTACCTAATCTCAAACTCAGCATCGCGATACAAGAAGAGACACTTCCTTTTACTGCTCCTTTACATTCTATCTCCAGCCCTCTTAATCATCCTCTACTTGCTTCTCTCCAAAGAAAAGCCTAAAACCAGTCAGAATGCACGCCCATTGATTTCAGAGGTAAACTCAGTTTAAGCTTTAAATCTTTAAATAAACTGCTAAATATCTGACAAATCAGAATTCTATGTTTTCTGACAACCGCCACCAACATGGAGCTGGCCTCTGTGTCACGTGTTTTGATTTTACAACATTCGTAAGAGCCCCAGTAAGACCAGCCATCGGAGGATGTGGTAACAGGGTTGCCTAACTGGTACAGCCACTGGCTCCCGGCTAAATGTCCAAAGGTGGAGCGTTCAGCTGCCGTAGGGGATGCCACCCTTTCACAATCACCAGGAGCTTCTGAGTCTCCAAGAAATAAAGCAAAGTGCCAGGGGTCTTTTTGTGGGGAATTTCCCTCCTTTCTTTGGCCAATCTTACTGCCTTCAAGAATAAGAAAATTGCGGGCTTCCCTGGTGGTGCAGTGGTTAAGAATCCGCCTGCCAATGCAGGGGACACAGGTTCAAGCCCTGGTCCGGGAAGATCCCACATGCCGTGGAGCAATTAAGCCCGTGCGCCACAACTACTGAGACTGCGCTCTAGAGCCCGCGAGCCACAACTACTGAGCCCATGTGCCTAGAGCCCGTGCTCCGCAACAAGAGAAGCCACTGCAAGGAGAAGCCCCCGCTCACCGCAACTAGAGAAAGCCTGGGCACAGCAACGAAGACCCAACACAGCCAAAAAATAAATTAAAAAAATAAATAAAGAATAAGAAAATTGTGCATACTCACAGCAAACCCAAACCAAAGTAAAGCCCAAAGGCACAGGCGCTACAGCCCTGCTTGATTTTGGAATGCAGCAGGAGTGAGAACATCATTTTGAGTTCATCTCAGACAGACTGGACCTCAAAGCAGGCTCTCCAGCAGGGAAGGCATCCTGAACCTCCATCAGGCACCGGATCTGAGGCTTTGCCCTCCAGGTCTGGACCCACCTCCCCTGCTGGATGGTGAATAACCTGAAGTCCTTCCCAAAGTAGCCACAGGAGGAGCTTCCCACAGTCAGTGTGCGCCGAACTAAGTCAATGAACATTGGCTGGACCGACGTTCCTATGTTTGCTGTGTCACAAATCTTCAAGCCCTGTCCTCACCCTCTACTAAAGGAGACCATTTATAGCCCAGGTGCTGTGTTTAACGCACCAATGATTAAGATACACAGCCTTCAAAGGACTGGGGAGATGAACCCCTCCTCTGGCCTCTTCGCCTCTGATGAGCCCCACAGGGCGCCACCAGCCTCCGTTTCCCGAGAGCCCAGGCACTAAGTGTCACTGTGCTGCCCAGGGGCCCAGGAGGCCCACCCAACCTCCTACACTAACTCCCTCACTCAGAGCTTCACAGAGCTCGCAGAGCAGGCCCACCTGCTGCCCACCACGACCACAGGTCACCCCACTGCCCCTTCCATCCAGAAATCCCACCAACTCCAGCTGACTCCTTGAGGCTCAGTGAAGTCTACCCTCCCTACCGAATCCAACTGCCTGCTTTCCGGCCTCCGCGGCCTAAAGTACGGGAAGGGTAATGCCCTGGTTCTGCCCTTTCAGGACGTATGAATCGCATTTCCCCGTAGCCTTTACTCCAGGAGGGCCTCCCCCAGAATAAACAGGCAGCTGTCACCAACAATGGGCCCAGGGATCCAAGCTCGTCCCCTTGACTCCCCTCTCCCCCACCCTGGTCTCCTCCTAGGCATAAGGAGGGACAAAATGGGAAGATCTAAAGTCCCTCTTATTTCAGATTCCAAAATCTGAAATTCCATATAGCTTCCCTAGATACAACTGGAAAAGCCTCATATTGTTCCTCTGTTGACCTTTTAAACAGGTGTCCCAGCTAATGCAACTTATCCAAAGGCCTGATTTTCAAGGAGTTTTAGACCATAACTTTTAGAGGAAAAAAATGGTTTTTTTTAAAATAAATTTTACAAGCCTGAGTTTTTTTCTCCTTTCATTCCTAAGAGGAAAGTGAAGGGATGGGGGCGGGGAACTGACCTGCTCAGTTCTGCTATTAAGATCACGAGCTCGCGATTCGTACCACCTGCGTTCCTCCTCCGGGCGTGGAGACCGTCCCAGGCCCGCCCGGCCCGCCCCGTTCACCCGCCCGGCAGTCCCGGATTGCCAGAGCCTCCCGAGCTGCGCCCCACCGTGGGCCGGCCGTGTGTCCCCAGCCGCGACACCACCTGGAGCCTCGGGCGCGTCCAGATGGCCGGGGCGCACCCGCTGTCACCTGGCCCCGCACGACGGCCCCGCTCCTCCCCGGGCGGCCCTCGCTCCAGCCGGCGTCTCTCCTTCGCTTCCCGAGCCAAGCCTGGCCTCCGGGCGGTCACCGGGCCAGGCGGCGAAGGTACCTGCCCCGCCCGGGAAAATGCACGAGCCCGCAAGTCCCTTCTGCCACCACCTCGACGGGAGCTTGCAGGAGAGAGGCAGGAGAAAGGAAAACAAGCCCGCGGCAGGGCCGGCCCGGCGTCTCCCACAAAACCGCCACCTGCGCCGCAGCCCCGGACTGGGGCCGCGGGCCTGGCGGAGAGCGAGGTCCGGGCCCGGCCGTTGCGCCCACCCGCCCCGGCGCGCCCCTTACCCGTGAGCCGGCCGCCCCCCTCGCCGTGGCCGCGGCGCCGCTGCAGGATGAAGTAGCAGCTGCTCTTCTGAGTCACCCAGAGCTTCAAGGCGTTCTTCAGCAACACCTCCTCGGGCTTGAGCCACATCGCGGAGGTCCGGCCGCGCCCGCGGGCCCCGGCTCACATCGCCCTGGCCGCCGGGCCGAGCCCACTCGGGAGGAGGAGGAGGCAGCGGCGGAGGGGAGCGCAGCCAGCCGGCGCCCTGCGCTCGTGAGTCCGGGGAGCGCGGCGGGCGCAGCTCGCCCCTCGCTGCCCGCGCAGCCCGCGCGCAGGCCCCGCCCCGGCCCCGCCCACGGGTTCGGCTCGCCCCGCCCACCGGCCGCGCCCCGCCCACCCCGCCGGCTCCTGCGGCGCCGCCGGGGTTTCCGAGTCCCGGCGGCTCCAGCGCAGTTCCGGAGTGGAGGGAGGAAGTCCAATCCCGGCTGCCGGGCTCCCCGCCTCTCCCCCTACGCTCGCGGGGGGCGCCGCGGCCCCTCTTCTCTCCAACGCCCCTGCGGGGAGACAGCCCGGAGAGCAGCAGGAGGAAGAGGAGGCGATGGTGAAAAAGACATCTTGTTGTCCCAGCTGCAGTTTGCCGAGCTAGGGCATTTATCTTAGGGGGGACAGAATGCACCCCAGGAAATCCACGTGTGTTTGGAATAACACGGCACTTAAAATAACAAGAAACGTTTTTACAAATAACCAAAAAACAGCGTTAAAAGCTAAAAATTATTTTCCGAATTTTTTAAACGCTGAGCGTACGTTTTCCGTGATCTCACGAGGGATCCCTCGGAGCTGCTGAAGAAGCGGCGATGTTGTAGGACCCTGCGGCAAGGTTCACACCAAACTCAACACCGGACGCCCCTCGTGGGCACAGAAGATGCCGATATTAGGGCTCCCCTGCAGGTCCCCTACCCAGGAACGAAACCAGGCACGCTGGTTCTTAGAGAATTGAAAAGCTGGGAAGTATGGAGTAGGTGATAGTAAAGAAAAGCTATAGCGAATTTGCAGGTAGGGCTTTAAAAGTATTTCCTCAAAGCGTGGTAGAAATAGACACGTGGACGCTGGCCTTGAACAGCTGAGGGGGACTCCGAGGCGTCTCCTCAAGGAAGCAGTTAAATCCAACATCCTAGAAAGAGAGGGAAAGAAACTCCAACATGACCCTCGGGTTTTGACAAAGGGACCCCTGACAACATGTGACTTAATTAGGACAAAACTGAAGTAAAGCTCCCACAAGATTCCTGGGAACTGAGTAGAACTGCTTCACTGGAGGCCAAGGAATCTGTCTGTAGAGGATCAGAAACCCATATCTGACCCAGCATGTGAGAAGCCAGGTAAGAGCCCTGTGCCCAGGACAAACGGGACTGCCCACCCAGGGGGCAGGGGCAGCTGTGGTCCAGAAGTGCAGGCCATGGACAAATATCCCCTGAGCACAACTGAGGGAGGGAGTCAGCTGTTCCCAGGGGGACTTGGGTGCCGCAGAGCGCTCAGGGTGGGCAGGGGTGACTAGAAAATATTCCTTCCAGGAATAGTTGCCGGCACCCACCCCCGACGGTCAGATGCGCTGCCAGGCCCTGGAACTGCGGACATGAGTGGAACAGGGTTCCCTGCCCTGAAGGACTCAGGTAGGAAAGCAGGCACAAAGTGTCGTGGGCGTCACGCTGGGGACAGTGGGGTGCACAGAATGAAGGGTCAGTTCCTCTGGGAGGGGACTGAGAAAACCCTGCAGAACAGCCGTGGTTTGACTGGGGCTTGGAAAATGAACGTGTTTGGCGCAAGGTCAAGTCGGGAGGGCAGGTCTAGTGAGCAGATCAGCACATATGTCTTTGTGGTTTAGGGAATACCTCTAGGGACAGACTGCCCTAGATCAAATCCCATTCCTGCTACTAGTTCACTGTGCAACCTTGACCTTGGGCAAGATAGGAAACTCAGGGAGTCTCAGTCTACTCAGCTCTAAAATTGGGATAATCATTGCACCTCCTTTATAGGTACTATCCAGTGTATAATATATTCAAGTGCTTAGAACACACATAATAAATGTCAGCTATTATTACTAAGTGTACAGAAGTTCTTGGAAGTGCAACAATCCACATATACACTCACCCATATTTTAAACATTATTAAGCTCTTAATATCTGCCAAACAGTAAATATAAACTATATGACATTAAATCACGGAAAGTGAGCTGTGAAAGCAGCTGGGAGAGGATGGGAAGGGTCCTGTGGGGTATGGTGCACTGACCTCTGTCTCCTCCCACCCACGAGGCTCCTGCCTGTGCCCATTAGCCAAGTCAAATAGAAGCCAAAAGGCAAGGGAGCCCAGGAGATACCGTCTGTAGAGATCGGGCTCCTGGGCACAGGGCAAGGTGAAGGTTGGAGAGGGGAACTGGAGGGGCCAGTGGAGAGTATCCAGCACAGGTGGTAACAGCTTCCCACTGTCACTCATCCCTGGGCACTCAAGGTTGGTGTTAGGGGTGTCCCCCAAAACACTCATACGTTGAAGCCCTAATCCCTAGTGTCTCAGAATGTGACCTTATTTGGAAATGGGGTCATTGAAGGTGTAATTAAGTTACAATGAGCTCGTTAGGGTGGACCCTAATCCAGTATGACTGGTGTCCTTATAAAATGGGAAATTTGGACACAGACAGGCACAAAGGGAGAACAGCATGTGAAGATTACATGTGAAGATTGGAGTTAGACTGTCACAAGCCAAAGAACTACCAGAAGCTAGGAGAGAGGCCTGGAACAGATCCTTCCCTCAGAAGGAACCAACCTTGATCTCGGATTTCCAGAAGTGTGAGACAATGTCTGTTGTTAAGCCACGTACTTCGTGGCACTTTGTTATGGCAGCCCTAGCAAACTCATACAGGTGGCTTTCTAATCTTGCCCATGCCTGCTCAGTAGCAGGTCTCTTGAGTTGGGTTCTGTTTCCTGCCAGGACCTTGACTGATGCCAGGAAGGTCCCCAGCACACACAGTTCCTCAATATGGAATTCTGGCTGGGCTACTCACATATTTGTGCATGCATTGGGAGCAAAAGGGGTGTGCTAATCTGCGACATAGCGGCCACAGGATTACTCAAGTGAGCCCTGGTGGTAGTGTGACGGGCAGATAGGGGACAAGGCGTGGAGGGCCGTTGCTGCTGTTACACTGATTGCTATGATAATGATGATGATTACAAAGAGTGTAGAGTGAGATGGCTGTTTCTGACTGCCCTGAAGAGTTTTTTTTTTTTTAAATAAGCATGAAGTTTTAAATTTCAATCTCAATATACAGATATGGTGACATTCAAAGAATCCTTTATAGGGTACAGCTGCAGGACACACAGGGGTCATCCTCAGATCCTAAATATAATTGTTCAGGTTACAAAGTTGTTGCAAAGTTGGGGGGGGTGGTTTACTGAAGTATAGTTGATTTACGATATTATATTAGTTTCAGGTGTACAGCACAGTGATTCAGATAGATAGTTATGTCCATTCTCTTTCAGATTCTTTTCCCTTTACTGCAAAGTTTAAGTGTTCAACCTCAGCAAATTCTCTTGCTAAGATTAGGACATTGACCACGAAGGAGCAGGACCATAGATTGTGATGGGAATATTTGGGTGGACACAGACAAAGTGATAATTATGTGATGCCATAGAGGTGTTAGCTAACGCTACAATGGCCATCATATTGCAGTATAAATGTATCAGATCAGTATGTTGTACACCATAAGCTTACACAGCGTTTTATGTCAATTATATCTCAATTTTTTAAAAAGTTGAATGCAGAAACTCGAAATGAAGAGGAGACAGAGAACAACAGAATTAGAACATATATTGACAAAATTATCCAAAACATTATCAACAAAATTTATCAAAACAAATGTGTAATAGAGGGACTTCCGTGGTGGTCCAGTGGGTAAGATTCTGCACTCCCAATGCAGGGGGCCTGGGTTCAATCCCTGATCAGGGAACTAGATCCCACGTGCATGCCGCAACTAAGAGTTCACATGACGCAACTAAGTAGTCCTCATGCCGCAACTACAAGATCCCACATGCCACAAGTAAAGATCCTGCATGCTGCAACAAAGATCCCGCATGCCTCAATGAAGATCTAACATGCCGCAACTAAGACCCGGTGCAGCCTAAATAAATAAATAAATAATAGAGAAAACAGATAAACCCAAAAGTTGGATATTGAAAAATTAATACCCTCTCTAGAAAGACTGATCAATAGAAAGAGAAAGAAAGAGGGAGGGGGGAAGATTCAAAATAGAGCTTCATAAATGCAAATAAAAAACATAATTGTAGATTCTAGAGATGCTGAACAAACAATACTAATATATTATTAAATTGTTTTAAAAAGCTGAGCTCCCGAACCCCAAGCCTCCCTTGCCTACAGAAGCAGCCCCTCTTCCCCTGTTTAAGGAAATTAGCAATCACTCACAAGAAGACCTTTCACCTGGGGCCTTTGTCTCCCATCTGGATGCCCGTTCTCAAAACCTGCCCACACTGCACCTCATTGACTCCGGGCCCATAGCAAGAATAAACTCCCAGCTGAGCCCAGAAGAAAACCACAAGGTCTGCTGGGGACGAGGTGGAGGTAGATTATACACCAAGGAAGTTGGAATATCTTGCCCATGTGTATTGAGAGGAAGCTGAGGGTCATGTATGGGAATGGAATCTACAGTGTTACACCAAGAGGGATGAAATGTAAGGTTGGAATCAGCAAGATTTACAAACGTACATACACTCACTCGGGACTCCTCATGTAATGTGTTACATTCAGCACATCTGAGTGGCTCTAAGGTTTGATTCCTTGGTTTATTGAAGCCTGGATTTAATAATGGCCTAAATTCAATGAGGATGAGATGCTAAAACTTCTCTGGCATATTGTAGACTAAGGAAAGGGTTTGAAGGCTTAGGAGATTAGAATGTTTGAGTTGATATATGCAACCTACTCAACCAACACCCCACAAGCATACCATACCCCTGGCCATCAAGACCACCACCCTACAACCACAACATGCATCTTCATCAAGACATTGAGAAATGTGGGAAACTTCTTCTAGTAATGGCAGTTAAAGACCAATCCTCCTGCCGAAAACCACCATAAAAGCTGGACAAAGTATTGTTTTTAAATCTGTTTCTTCGAGTCATGAGAGAACTACTGTGGCAGCAAGGACTTGAGGTGGCAAGAATCTGAGGAGGTGAGCCAGACATATGATCAAGTTCTTCCCCTCTAAGTATTTGCAGATTCCAAGTGGCAGCTCGGAGACTAAGAGGCCAAGCACACCTTCTGGACATTTACAGGGCCAGAGAGATAAAAACTGGAGTTAGGATCCCCAAAGCGTTACTTCCTCAGAGTAGAGAAGACCCAGAAGAAGACAAGCCTTCACAAAGACTAGACCTGCCAAGCCCACAAGCATCCCAATGCCTGATTCAAATGCTTCCCCCAACCTTAATGACCCACCAGGAGCAAAAGTAAATTCTCCCAATAGATGATAACACCATCCAAAGACTCACTTTTTTTCCATGGTCTTTCATACTCCATATTCAGCATCAATACATTACCAGGCATAAGAGGAAACAAGACCACATGACTAAAAATCAAGAGAAAAGAACAAAACCTATTAGTAACAAATTCATGAAATAGCCAGATATTGGAGTTACCAGATACAGAGTAGAATATATGTAAATAATAAGTTCAAGAATTGCAATGAAAATATAGAGAATTTCAGCAAAGAAGTGGAGATATATATATATATATGTGTGTGTGTGTGTGTGTGTGTGTGTACACACACACACACACACACAGGTCAAATAGAAATCCTAGAATGGAACAATACAATACCTGAAACTAAGAACTCCACACATAGGTATAACAGTAAATCACACAAAGTGCATTGGTGAACTGGAATATTAAAAGAAAATAGCCAGAGATTTCTCCCAAGAAGATATGCAAATAGACAATAAGCACATGAAAAGATGCTCACCATCATTAGCCATCAGGGAAATGCACATCAAAGCTACAGTGAGATACCGCATTGCACTCACGAGGGTGGCTGTAATTAAAAGAAGAAAAAACGTGGACACTAACAAGTGTTGGTGACACTGGAACTGTCACACATTGCTGTTGGAAATGTAAATGGTGTAGCCACTTTGAGAAACAGTTTGAAAGTTCCTCAAAAAGTTAAACATGAAGTTACTATTGACCCAGCAATTCTACTCCTAGGTATATATACCCAAGAGAATGAAAACATTGAAGACCTATGTTCTGGATTCCCTGGGTGGTCCAGTAGTTAAGAATCCATCTTGCAATGCAGGGGACGCCAGTTCAATCCCTGGTTGGGGAACTAAGATCCCACACGCCACGGGGTATTACTAATCCCGCACACCACAACTACTGAGCCCGTGCTCTGGAGCCCACACACCACAACTAGAGAGAAGCCTGCGCACCACAACGAAGAGCCCACTAAGACCCAACGCAGCCAATAAATAAATAATTTTTAAAAAGGAAAGAAAAGCTATGTTCACACAAAAATTTACATGAAGGTTCATAGCAACATTACTCGTAATAGTTAAAAAGTGGCAACAACACAAATGTCCAACAACTGATGAATAGGTACACAACATCTGTTATATCCAAACAACAGAGTATTATTCAGCCATGAATGAAGTACTGGCATATGCCTCAATGCAACATGGATGAATCTTGAAACCCACTATACCAAACGGAAACCAGACATGAAGAAGCACATATTATATGATTCCATTTATATGAAATGTCCGGAATAGGCAAATCCATAGAAGTGGAAAGTAGATTAGTGGCTGCTATGGGCTGAGGGGAGGAATGAATGGGAGAAATTAAGAGTAACTGCTTTATGGGTACAGGGTTTCCTTTGGAGTGATGAAAATGTTTTGGAAAATGGGGTGATGCTGGCCTAACATTGTGAAGATACTGAAAACCACTGAATCGTACACTTTAAAAGATAACGTGTAGGGCTTCCCTAGTGGCGCAGTGGTTGAGAGTCCGCCTGCCGATGCAGGGGACACGGGTTCGTGCCCCGGTCCCGGAAGATCCCACATGCCGCGGAGTGGCTGGGCCCGTGAGCCCTGGCCGCTGAGCCTGTGCGTCCGGAGCCTGTGCTCCGCAACGGGAGAGGCCACAACAGTGAGAGGCTCGCGTACC